GATCGTTGATGTCAATGTGATGGCTGATCTGCAACAGAACTTTGGAGCTCAACTAACCGATGAAGTTAAAACCAACATCATTGACATATTAGACCGCTACTCAGAAGTTTGGCAAACCACTAGAGTTGCCTGCTCGAAGAACTTTATCTACAGAATAGATACCGGAAATGCGAGTCCAATTGTTGAACCTCACAGACACTTTGCACCAAAGACCCTAGAAGAACTAAAACGTTTAACGCGTGATCTATTACAAGCCGGGGCCGTGAGAAGGTCCAATTCTAATTGGCTCTCACAGCCTGTAATCGTATCAAAGAAGGACGGATCTAGTCGGCTGTGCGTTGATTTTAGATCGTTAAACGCCGTGACTAAGGCCGACCCATTTAACGCGCCAGATGCTGCAGCAGTAATAAGACAGCTTGGACATGCGAAGATCTTTATAGTTATGGACCTCAAGAATTCGTTCAACCAAATGCGAATACATCCAGATGACAGATGCAAAACAGCATTTTGGACGCCACTTGGTCAAATGGAATGGCTTGGAGTACCCTTTGGTTTGCTGAATGGTACTTCAGCTTTGGCCAGATGGCTATACTTAAACGTTATTGATTTAGAAGGTGTCGCCGTTTATGTTGACGATATTGTAATTCATGCAGATGACGAAACTACCTTACTGAAATACTTTGAGGCTATGATGAAGCGTTTAGCTGAGATAGGAGCCTACATCAACGTAACAAAGTGTAAGTTTGGTGTAGAGGAAATAGAGTTTCTCGGATTCAATATCAAAGGTGGACGACTCACTCCTCCCACAGAGTCGGTCAAGGCAATAAATGCCATTAAACTACCATATGATACAACTACCGTCCGACGATTCCTAGGTATGGTTGGCTACTTTCGCAATTTTATCAAGGACTTTGCCAAGATAGCTGGACCTTTATACGAGCTGTTACAGAAGGATGTTCCATTCAAGATGACCGATGAAAGAATAGCATCATTTCAAGAATTACAGAAGGCGTTAACTGAATGTCCTGGCCTGGCGAATCCTCACCATTCGTGGCCATATGTCCTGGACACTGATGCCTCTACTACTGCAATTGGTGCCTGTCTAATGCAACTCGATGAACAAAGTACTTTACATCCAGTTCGTTTTGGATCCCGCCGACTAACTCCTGCTGAAAGAAATTGGCCAATCTACGAACTTGAAGGTTTCGCGGTAGTGCATTTTATACTTGCCTTCAGACCTTACTTAATTGGAAGAACTTTCACCGTGAGATCAGACCACAAGCCACTTCAATGGTTATGGAAGATCGATAAACCACGCCTGGCTAGATGGTCAATGGCTCTGCAACAATTCG